GAGCTTACATGCTCTTGGAGGAAGAGGGCGTTTTGGCTGGTCTTGTCATCACCCACGTGGATGACCTTTTGTGGAGTGGTGGTCAGTTAATTGAGGAGCGTATGAAGGAGATCTGCGACCACTACAAGTTTGGCAAGATTAAATGTGATTCGTCCCGCTATTGTGGCAGGAACATCACCCGAGATACTGACAAAATCTATGTCAAATGTGACAATTTAATCGACCGCGTTCGCCCGATCTGGCTAACCCATGAGCAGAAGCGCCAAGGAAAACAGCCAGTGACTGAAGGAGTACGTGGGCAGCTTCGCAGCATCATCGGAAGTCTTGCTTAGCTATCTCGTGTATGCCGCCCTAACTTGGCATATGCAGTGTGCAAAATGCAAATAAGTGTCAGTTCAGCCACCTATGAGGACTTCAAGTACGCCAATTCGATTGTGGCCTTGGCCCAGAAAACAAAAGAAGTTAGACTGGTTTACCCTATCGGCGCCTTCAAGTTTGAGAATGCCATGATCCTTGCAATTCAGGATGTAAGGCATGCCGCTGACTATGAGGCCAACTCTTCTGGTGCCCGCATGGCTCATCGAAGCCAGAGTAGACGTCTACTATGTTTGGCTGACAGGAACTTCTTCGAGAACAAGATCGATTACTTGGCCTTGATCGAGTGGCACAGCACGGTCTTGAAGCGTGTATGCAGGAGCACCTTGCAGTCAGAGGCATTCAGCCTACTGGGTGGAAGCGAGGAGGCAGAGCACCTCAGGTTCGTACTACATGGAGTACGCCATCCTCGTTGTGGAAAACCACATTGGCAAGTTCAGGCCATAGATGGAACTTTGGTGGAATGGCTAACGGACTGTCGGTTACTTCACGACCACGGCAAGCAAACTGGCCTCCACATTGTGTCGGACAAATACCTAGCTATCGACCTATGTGGTCTTCGCCAGATGCTGTGGCGGGTTCCTGGAGAGGCAGTGGGAAATCCTTTGGCGATTGATCGCCTGCCTGCCAACCAATGGCAATACTCGCCTAACTTGGACCAGCACTGACAAGACGCTAGTGGATCCTCTCACCAAAGGCATGAAACATGCCCGTTTGCGACAGCTCATGTCGGCGGAAGTTGTGGACCTAAACTGAACGGTTGGATTGAAGGCCAAGAAAACTTACGGGTGTGAAATGAATCATGATGATCCAGGTCATTCCAGTTAGCATGCTGTTGGCCTCTCACTCCAACCTGCAGGTTCCGGTTCGCAAGGACACGATACGACGCCCTTGGCTCAAGCCATGACGGAAAAGGCGTTCGTAGCCTTTTGCACGTTTGTTTTGAGTTGGGTGCATATTCATTTTCAGAATGTACGCCAAGAATTGTATATTTACGTCAAAAGAATTTCGTTAATATTTTGTGTTTCAGTAAAACGGCCCGGATAAAAACATATATTTTCCCGAAAATCAACACATCATTCAGAATATCCTAATTCATGACAAATTTAATCGTCGAGGACATCCTTGCAATTTTCATGCAGGCATGGGCTTACGCAAATTATAGCTCTTAAGGATCCCCAATTGACTCAACTCCGCCAACCTCATCAGCAAAGTCAATACAAATGCACATATGCGAACGTTAGTCAGTTGGCACGGAAGGTATTGTAAACTTAAAGGCCGACTTCGAACCTAATGCTTTTCAAGTTTGTTGCCTACCTACAGTCGGAATTATAAATTAGATATAGAAAATCAAAATCTGTAGTATACAGTATAAAGAATAGAGGTGTAATGGCTCAGAGCCAGCTTCACCACCGCTTCGCGGCGAAGACTGGCCGTGCGGAAAGCACTTGTGCTCCTTAAGCCGGGAAAGAACGATGCAGGTCTCAAAGGGTCAGAAGAAGTGAACCGTGAGCAAACACGCGCACACTTACTTTCAATATTGCACTTCCATTCGGGCAGCAGAACTAACATGATCAATGGTTTTCTCGTTTCGCACGATGTCAATGATGCATTCTCACTCGCGCAGCAAAAACTAACATCGCCAATGATTTGCTCGTTCTTCATCAGCCTTTAAAAACATCAAAAAGCAGGGCATTCTAGAGAACCCCCCAAGCTAAATCTAGCAATTACTAGAGTTTACGCGAACTGAGACAACACCCGGATTTTGTGCCAGAAATGTTTTGTGGCACACAAATGTAACTTCACCAGAGTCATTCTCCGTTCTGATGCAAAAAAGTAGTTTCGTCACGTTGTTTGTATGCTCTTTTTTGGACCGTCGCGTGGAAAACGCGCACCTCCACCACGACCTGCTCTGCTGAATTTCGTCCCTCTGTGACCCTCTGTTGCCACTGGGCTCAGCTGGGTCAGGTGGTTGGTCAATCGGGGCTTCGGGAGGCTCAGGCAAGGAAGGCTCACGGGATGCTGCAAAAACAGTCTTGAAGGAGGTGAAATCCATGGCATCCTTAGCAGCAGGTGATGGATCCCCCTGCTCTCAGGTTGGCTGCTGCATGGTTTCTCAGTGAGGGACAACTCTCAAACTTTTTTGTCTCAATTGTTCGCAGGTATGTGGAATCCAAATTTCTATGTTTGAAGAAACGGATGTGTGGGAAACCGGAGCTGGATTCGCGCAGTATGCCATTGAAATTCAGCTTCGTTTTGCGTTTCTCTGAGCTTTTCGGTTCTGAGCTGAGCTCTCCCTTGCAGTCTCCAAGACTTCGTGCAAGCCTCAGCCGTGTAACACGTCTTGCTAAAAGATCTAAGCGTTTAGAATCAGTTGCTAGGACTGTTAAAACAACATTCTTAGTCTGTGGCCAAGGGTAGCGATTTCGGTGTTTTAGAAGCTTGGTTGGCGCTCATGCTGAGTCAGCAGCTCCCAAGTTGCGTTCACTTGCTCTTCCGTCAAGTTGATATCCTCGTCTGCGGCTGGATGTTTCATGGAAGTTGCTGGTATACATGACACATGAATGCTGTACTTGACGCTGCTTTGCTCTCTCTGAAACACTGGTCAACAGCAGTTTCACAATGGTCGCTTGGCACATGGGCTGAGCTACCAACACCGTACTGAAGCAAAGCAGCACGAAAGCCAGCAATCCCTCAGTGTCCAAGCTCGACCTACTCACAAAACAACATGCAGCTCTCGCTACCTTGACTGATCCACATCTGCTGAAACTCAAAGCGCTTCTTGACCTCTTTACTGTCACCCAGATTTCCGGATTTAGAGCGGATGCAAACGCACTGAGTGCTGGAACCGACTTCCCCCTCGCCCGTGATGTCCAGCGTGGCAAAGGCACCGGAGATGGAGCCCTCCGAAGATGGGTCGATCCGCCGACATGCGATGGACATGTTTTCAACAAACAAAGACAACTGGATGCCCCAAAGCCTGGTATTCTTGTGTATTTTGGCTTACGCGCACATATGAAATCTGTGGTTGAGACTGTATGGCCCTAAAAGACCAGGAAAAAAAATGCATATGCGATCCGCGAATATTGAAAAGCTGTGCTTGGGTCGCTGGTGCCCTCAAGAGCTGGTTGAACCGACGCAGGGTGTGAGTGGTCATAAGTGCCAAACACTCAAGCAAAGGAAACGTTCTCGTTGTCACATTGTCATTGCACCCCTACAACAATTTCGCTTGGGTATGCAGCAGCTTTAAGAAAACACGCCTTTAGCCATGTTGCTGTCCGCAAAATGAGCGCTGGCCTCCCCAAAACACACACCGCCTTCTTTTTCCTTTTTCTTGAGCAGCTCTCAAGAATTGGCTCTAGTCACTAGGATTGGGCAGGGTTCTCGGATGGCATCATGGAGATGATTGAGTGGAGGTTCAGTCAACAGTGGCAAGATTCGAAATTTCAAGAACGTTACTAGTAGTAACAAGAAGCTAGTAGTAACATCTCCAAACTGAAGAATCTCATCAACATTGCACCACAGACTGGCCCAAACCCAGCTATGTGTCACCGTTTGGTGTCTCCGCACCGACTTTAGGTGTGGCTTTTGAGTTTGTGGCGGCCGGGGGCAACAGGATCTGTCCTGTTGCCAGCCGCGGCTGCGGCAGAACAGCGCTCTCTTGCTTTCAACAAGGTGCCAGCTCAGCTCAAAGGAATACTAAGCCAACAACAGTTGCAGCAGTCACCCAGTTGCAGCAGTCATCGGATTGAAATGATTAAACCAATACCTCCTCACGAAAAAGACCTCTTCAATTGCAGCGTCTCTTGGATGGCCCTCATTTTTCAATCAACGGTGGCTACTGTGTCATAAAATCTGCCCACACTGAGCTCACTTGAAACACATCCAGATCGCTCAGGAGTGCCTAAGCTCGATTTCGCCCGTCATTCAGAAGCTGACCAGAAGCAATGTTCAACATCTTTCCGACGGTTGGAGGCCATCGCTTTTGGGTTGGAGGCCGCTTCTAGGTTCTGGTCTCTTTCGTTTGACCACAAACGGTGTGAACTCAGAACGAACAAACGTCAAAGGAATCGCCGAGAGGCCATGGTATCTTGTGGCCTTCCAGGCAAAGTTTCGACAACTAGGTAGCAAGGATGCTACTAGGGGCTCCTGGCCATACCACTAGGAGCAAGTAGCTATTAGGAACAAGTGCATCGCTACTAGGAGCAAGGGCCTTACTAGTAGTAACAAGAAGCTATTAGTTGACTCTTTTAATTTCATTTCTAATGTGAAAGAACCAACATGAGAATAAATCGGGTCCTAGCGGGTGGGAAGTTCACAAAGCAAACACATGCGGATTCACAGGCTGATTCAATCACACGCGTGCATCATTGGGCGCCTTTGTGTTATCGCCGGCAAGTTCTCTTGGACCTTCTGTTTAATCTCTTCGGTAGATAAGCCTGTCAACAGGTCCTGCGAAACGAATCCACAAAAGATCGACTTGATTGTTGCAGACATCAACACTGGTTCAGTCATTGACAGCAAGCAATTCCTACCAAGCTGGGCATTTGCAACATGAATACCATATCCAATCAAAGACATGTTGCAATACCATGTCGGCTCAAGTGTCCAAACTCACAAGAGCCTCAATCTGAGTCAGTGCTTGGTCCCCCCATCCCGATGCACAAGAAGACGTCGTGCCCCAGGAAGCTCTCCTCTTCCTTCAAGGCCTTGTGCACCCGGAGCTCCATCGCATTGTTGTACTCCTTTGCGGCGACAGGATTTCATCTTTGCTCAACGAAGAGCGAACAGGTGCAAAACAAGCAAGCCAAATACAAAAGGAAAAAAACACAGGATGGAGCTGTTCCTGGAAGCCCAGTGGATGCACATACTCCATTTCTGTGTATGGCAGAAACGATACAAAACAGAAGGATACTTTGATGTTCTACATCTCATCCGTTTGAAATTGCGTGGAGCCTGGGTAGCACCAGGAACTGTTGTTTTTGACTTCTTCCAGATTGGATGGAGCAGCTGGAGGCAGCTAAGGCGCTGCATGCTGCGCAGCGGTGAGGATCCCGTGGCTTTTGCACCTCACAGCAGTTGCGGGCTGCAGTTGCTGAGAATGCAAAGCTGGTTTCTGACGGATCCCAAATAATGGCATTGTCGCTTGAGGCTAGCGTAGCCCACCCATTCCCCAAAGAACAGCTGAAACACCCGTCAAGCACCCATGAACCTAAACCCAAAACCACTTGTCATAATCACCCCAACACGTGCAGCTTTTCCAGCAAGAATGGGGATTGGACTCTAGTTCTTGTTGGCAAGTCCAAGACCCAACTTTTTGGAAATGAACCGACAAGACAGGTCCAAAGAAAGAAAGACAAGAAGAAAGTGAAGAAAAGAAAAGAACAACATAAAAAGAAAACACAAGTATACATAAAACAAAAACAACACAAACGCACGTATTTTCTTGTTTCGCAAGTCCCAAACCTAAGGAGAGCATGGCAGTCTAGCACGGTACTGATGAATTACTCTACTGTACTCACGTTCCACATCACGGCGGTGTGACCGGCCTAGCAAAGACCCGCTGGATCTGTGACCAGGTCAGCTTGTTGCCGAAGTCAGCTTCGGCCTGAGGCACTGCCAGGACACTCACTATGACACAGCAAGCAAATTTCCCAGTCCCCTTCTTGCAACCAATCATTATCAACTTCGGTATGCCCCACCGTGGGTCCTTAAACTCCACGAAACTCCCAACCAATCAGCCGCTCCGCTCTCTTGAGCTGGGATGCCGCTATTTCCCTTTGGCCTTTCGCGTTTCTCCGGGGCCTTGAGCAAGGAGAAAAACCGGAGCTCTGGTGGCATTGCGTCGTAGGACCGATGGAACTTGAAGACCGCCTCGAAAGCAACTTACGATGGGTTACTGTCAATAGGTGGTCTTGCTAAACGGTTTGAAGTCATTCGTTAGTGGCTTTTTTGATGCCAATGTAACATGCATTGACGGAAAGTGTAAATGATTCAATCAACTCCTTTTCCGTGAAAACAATGATGGCTTGGAACTGTGTGTTTCATCTGGGAAAAAGAGTCAGTTGTTTTTCGACGTGGGCTTTCGGATGTACTGATCCAATGAGCACCCCCATTTCTTTAAGCTGAGGCGAACAGTAAGTGGCGCACGTCCGCTGTCTTGCTCCAGGACAAGGAAATGAATTCATAGTACACCTAAAAGTGCACGTGTGAAACTCAAAACCAAAAAGAAACAGCCTTCAAGTTGACATCACGTAACGGGGTACCTGCAATTCTTTCCATGTATCATGAGATTGCATTGCGCTTGCGACGTGTGTAATGTTTCAAATTACGCCGAAAGAGTAATTCCAGTGACCTCTATGTTTTTAAGGGCCAAAATCCCCAACAAGAGCATAGCTTTGCTAGGTCTGTGGCTGGCTCATCCGATCGGACTTTACCGTCGCGCATGGTCACCTCCAGTGCAACAACTGCTGCTTAGTAGGTTGGAGGTTGGAGGCCATCGCTTGTAGGTTCCTTAAAGTCTTCCTCCTCTTCTTCTTCTTTTTCTCACTCTCTCAATGATTCGTTTCCTTGACCGACCACTATGAATCATAGTCCCTTCAACTACGGTTGCCATGGATGTTGAAACATGCGCACCCACCTGGGCTTCTGGTGCAGTCAACTGTGTGTGGGTTGACTGCCCCGATTTGAAAAGTCTATGTTCAAAAAGCCTGGGAACCAAATTAAGGCTCAGGCTTCTTATTTAGGGCAGCTCCCTCTCACCCTCAGGCAGGGGAACTTCTTTGAAGAAGCCTGCGCCCTTCTGCGCCCGATCGGTAGTAGCTTGTCAGCAAGAAGCTACTCCCTGCTCTAACCTCCTCCTAATAGCAATGGCCTCCACCCTAATAGCGATGGCCTCCACCCTCCACCCTAATGGCGATGGCCTCCACCGAAAAATAGAAATGACCTCCACTCCACCCTAATATTGGTGGCCTCCCACCTAGAAGCGATGGCCTCCCAGCTGGTAGCCATTGCCTTCCACCTAGAAGCGATGGCCTCCAACCTAGTAGCTATTCCCTACTCTTACCGCCTCTTACTCCAGCCTACCTTCACTCCCCCAAAAAGCCCAAGTGTTGTGGGGAACTGCTAGTGAATCATTGGCGGACGAGGCAAGCCGAAAGCCACTCGGTAGTGTATTGAACTGTTGGATTTGTTTGCCGACGAAAGGCAACTCAGGTAACCATCTGCCTGTTGTCTCGACACATCTGTATGCTGCCAAACCTGAAGGCCTTAAGAAACTTTGACCGAGTATCGCAGCCCCGAAATGCAACAGTACAATGGATGGAGGATGCGACGGATACGACAGCACCGCGCCTTCTGGATGATTTGGCCCTCAGCTGAGCAGCTGAGGTACTGCCCGAGAAATGCTAGTTTTGACCCAGGGTTTATGTGTTATTGCTTTTTTGTAAGCCCGCTCCTACTTAATTAAGTAGGGGCCTAGCTAGGACGGAGGATAGCTCCTTAAGAAGCGCTCGCACTAATGATTTGGTTCCTAGAATTTTAGGGAAACTTAACATCAATCGCGCTCCATGCTTGTGCTGTGCAACAGCGCAAATGCGTGGTGAAAAGGAAGTGTTCTTCTCACCGCCCAAAATAAAGTTTCCGATTTGTGGTGTCATCGTGGTTTTTGGGAGTAGATAATCCCATATCTCGTTACTAGTAGCTATTTGCTCCTAGTAGTACGTATGGCCAGAAGCCCCTAGTAGCGTCCGATCGCTCGTAGTAGCGATGCCAGGAGGCCCTAGTAGAATTCCAATTTGTCGTATATATCCCATTCCACTGCTCATGATGTAGATAATCCCTTTTTGTCCTTCGAGAAACACTCACCCAAACACCACCAGTTAAAATACTTGAGATGTAACTTGGCCTTCCTTTCGAACATCAGTGATTAAGGTATAAGGAGATTGTTTCTTGGTTGGTGAAGTGACGCAAAATGCTCTCTGGCTAGTTACTATCCAGAAAATTCTTTCCCACAGATTCTTTGCCCTAGTTGGCCACCATCGCTGCAGAGCGTCGAGCCAAACACGGTTGCGCGGATTCTCATCGTCACCTGGCTGAGTTTGGCTCTCGGCTCTCCAAGTCCAATGGTTAAGCTATTGCCTTCGAGCCAAAAACAGAAATTAGAAACTCAAAAATGCTCAACAACCTACTGCGAACCTCGTTCCGCCTTGGCTTTCTGAAACAAAAAAGAAGACAACCTTCCCCCGCCGCACCGTCTAGCACTTCTGGTATCACCATCAGATCCAGGTCCATGTTCTCGGAGAGTCGGCCGCTGGTCATACACGACTCAGTGGCCAGGTACTTGGCCTCGCATGAAGGTACCAAGGAGTCTGGGAGCGTTACACCGCTCTTGGAGCGTTCTTGGAATGGGCAATTCCAGTGGCTACGAAGCATGAGGTCGGCAAAAACACTCAGACCTAAAAGAGTGCCTCTTCCTGTCAAACCAGAATCTTTTCACTTCAATGCCCGGAAAGCTTTTTGAGATTCATCTATGTTCATCTGAACATCGAGTGCTTCTCCCGATGGATCCCGCCCCGGCCTTGAGCTTCTTGGTGTTAAGCCCCACGGGCGGCTCCGACCAGCGATTCGTGTAATGCCGCGCCTCCAGCTGCCCAAATGCACTGTGGAAGAGAGTAGTAGCCCAGAGTAGCTGTTAAACAGCTGTTACGCAATAGGCACAAGTCATGGTGGCTTTCTTTTCTGAACGCAGTCCTTTTTGGCAATTGGCTGGAGTAAACGCTTCAGGATTCAAACAACGCCGAAAACCGATCGGACACCAAATCTAAACGAAAAGAACGAAGGAAAGAAGACAGGTCAAAAGGTCCTAGTAGCGCAAAACAGCAAGGAGCTTCTTGCTCCGTTCGTAGCGATGCCCTTTGTTTCTAGTAGCCTTCTCACGACTTCACGCTCGTCGCATTGGTGCCTTTCCGGTCAAGGCCAGCATGGGCTTCGCCTTCTGCTTGGCTCCCTCTTTTTCTGACCAAATCTCGATGCAGAACTTGGCCTGGAGCAAAAAATGAGCATTAAAACAAGAAGAGCATTGGCTCAGTGTAAGGTACAAAGGCAACGCAAGGCCAAACAAACACACCAAGTAAATTGATGAATCTGGCTCACAGTTTGTCTTCGAATCCTTTGCTAGCTACAGTGTCCTCCCCCTTCCATCGTTTTTGTGACCCTATCCAATTCAATCACCCGGTGGGCACCCCGTCTTGACCCATGTGAGCCAAAGGCACCAAATTGTCGACAATCCGCTGCAACACTCGGCCATCGCATGCATTCATCTCCTGGATTTTGTGCAGGTGAAGCGAAAGGAATGAAACCTCGCGACACTTGTTCCTAGTAGCGATGCCAGGAGCCCCTAGTAGCGTCCTTGTTACTAGTAGTAAGGCAGTTGTTCCTAGTAGCGATGCACTTGTTCCTAGTAGCAAAAGAAGCGTGGCAACTCTGTTCCCGCCGAAAAAGAACCTGCGGTTTCATGTTCTCATATCGTCTCATCGGTTTCTCCTCCTCTTCTTCAAACTTGAAGACGCGCTTCAGCTGTCTGGCCAGTGCTGGCAGCAACTCTTCCAGCTCTTTGCTCGGGGTTCGAGCAGCGATCAGCTGCTTCCTTAGCACAAAGCAACTCTTCCAACCCCGGTCCAGCCCCTTCAGTCTTCTCTTCAAACTTGGTGTTTGTGAAGACGATGAACGAGATTTAGCAAACCAAGACTTTGAGCTAGCAAAACAAAGCAGTGAACAACGTGTGAACCAAAACCAGGAAAGGGTGTTAAGAGCTACAGGAAAGCCTTCTATAGCTAGTATATGCCAGTATAAACAAGCCTTGGCAATACCAGCTTGCAAATAGGCATTTCTACCTTACACAAACATTTGTTCTTTCTTGTGAAAGGCGTGCTAAGAGCAAATGTAGAAGGATCCGTTGCCACTCCAGGAACTCCTTGAAACTGATGCTCCGGCTCTTGTCCGAATCGACCATCAGGAAGGTCTTCCTGGCCAGTCTTCATTTGGTCAATAAGCTGAAAACGTGTTTATTGCTACTAGGTTGGAGGCCGTCACCATTAGGGTGGAGGCCATCGCTGTTGGGGTGGAGGCCATCGCTTCTAGGTGGGAGGCCATCGCTACTATAAGCTGAAACAGTGCATTTGTTTTGCCTTTCTTGCAACCGTTGGACCCTGAAAATGCGAGAAACCCGTCGTCTACCTTTGGAGTCAAGCCAAAAGTTCGGAAAACTGTTTGTCCAATTTTCCAGCTTGCACCGTGAACGACGCTAACTGCTGTGAAGCTTCTTTGGCTCGCTCTCGAGAAGCGGCACGCTTGTGGTCCCTGGCCTCCCGAACTCCTTCTTAAACTGTTCCTCCAGTGAAACCTCGCAACACTGAGTGACGCAAAGCGATGCAGAGCCTCAAATCCATCCCTGGCACTTCAAGTAGGACCTTTAGACTTGTCTTTTGACCTTCCAGTCAGACATCCTGCATGTAAGCAGTTTCAGGTTCTTCTTGCAGGAACAGCTCTGTGGATTGCGTATGGAGAGTGTTCGAATGAACTGCCAAAAGAAAGCATGCTACAATGATGCGACTGAGAACTAGAAAGAAACGAAAAGCTTATCCATTGCCTGGCCTTGCTTTTGAGCCCAAGAGAGTTCTGCAAGATCGATTGGCATCCGATGAACTCTTCCATCGAAACCAGGCCATCTCCATCTTGGTCGTAGACGTCCTTGGCTTAGTGGCACAAAGCGCCCAAAGACACCCAAAGGTGCATCGCTATGAGTAACAAGGGCATTACTACCTAGAAGCTACTAGGGGCTCCTGGCCTTACTACTAGGAACAAGAAGCTACTAGGAGCAAAGGGCATCGCTGCTAGGAGCAAGGAAGCTACTAGTAGCTCCTGGCATTACTACTAGTACCTAGAAGAAGCTACTAGTAACAAGGCACCCATTTGGGTGCCGAAAATCCGGGAAACGCAAGTCAGAAGTCTGCAAAAGAGCTGGGAAGATGTGTTCCTGTTTCAAGGAGGCACTATGGTGACCACTATGGTGACCATGCTTTAAAGAGCGTGTAGATCCTCTTACTTTTCGGCAATCTCATTCCTGTTTCATCTCGGGTCGGCTTCAATTGGAAAAGCAAATGACTTCACATCCCTTCGCTGAGCGTCATACAAAGGGCGGACACAAGCCTCCAGGTCGAAGTACTCTAAACCGTGACTTCCCAATCGCACTGTACCACAGGGCTGCTGCAGCCATTCGATGAACTCGTTGTATTCAATGATTCCATTCCCGTTCTTGTCTGCCTGCTGATTTTTGTGTGAAGAGTGAACAGCATTGTGCAAAGGAACGTGGGGAGTTGGGGCTACCCTTGTGCATAGGGGAGTTAGGCAAGGCCTTCTAGTACTTCCTTCCTACACCTGCCAGACCCTTTTGTCACATCCTACACCTATGGGGAGAAACCACTGTTGCACACGAAACGAAGGGCCGATGGCTCAACGAAGCCATTTTGAAGTCCAATCCGTTCTTCGTGGATTCCTACCAAGCGGGGTGGAGGCATGAGAGAAAGAGGTGTAACAGTGTAGCACAGAATGGACAGTGTTGCGCAAAGGCCTTGAAGAAGCTGGCCTTAACTACCGTTGCTGCTGCCAACGAGAACCATGCTCACAAGGATGCTGCTTCCAAACAACTTCTCCAATCCACTCGAACCCTTCTTCATCCTTCTTCCATCTTCTTTCCACACCCAACCCTTCATCATTTTTCTTTATTGCTTTAGACCATTGGACCATTCTTTTTTCTTTTCTACGCACCAATTCTTCTTGAACTTTCATTTTGACGTTTGGTCCTCACCTCTGCGATGCATCGTTCGATTTCTTCCTCTGTAACGCTCTTCCCTGCCACAGCCTCATGGACTCCGGACATTTTTGGGGTCTTGTGCTTCAAGGAGATCTTCCATAAGCATCCCTATCTTTCTTCAAAATATCAAAAGAAACAAAACAGCAGCTTTTGCAGATTTCTCCAATTCTAGACATTGAAAGCGTCAGAAATTGGTTCGACACATCGCCAAGCGTCTGTGAGAAGCTCCTGTAGCCTCCTTCGAGTAATGACACCGGTGCCATGGACGTCCCATCGCTGAAAAATCTCCTGAACAATATAGATCTTTGTCACGGTACGATCGAAAACCAAGCTCTCTCCTTCGGAAAAGTATTCTCTGTTGACTAAGCCCAACTTTGTTCAATAATTCACTTATTATCTTACTAGTACCTAGAAGCTACTAGGGGCTCCTGGCATCGCCACTAGGAGCAACGCTACTAGGGGCTCCTGGCCTTACTACTAGGAACAAGAAGCTACAGGAAAGGATGACTCCAGCTCTCCAACCGTGGCAGCAACCTTCGTAGGGCATGAGAATGAGGCTGATTGGACAAGATTCTGCACTCATTGAAAAGGGCGACTTGCAAGCCTACTGGTGACTTTGTCTCAGTCCGAATCACCGATTTTCACGACTTAGGGACATAGACGCCGTCTTAATCAACGACATTTTCTTGTCATAGTTCTTTTCTGATGTCCCGGTTTCCGGAGAGAACAGGTCGAACGGATTGCAACCCAAAAAACTGAAGCCTGTCCATCTGACCTCATGAGCCCGTGCCCTTTCTTCCCTGTAAAGAAAGCGATCTTGTTGACCCTTTAGGACGTTTTGACCATTCTGCCACCACTAGCTACCTCTACGGCCTACCCTACTACCTTCTGGGCCAAGAAGAACAGCAATTCTTCAACCGAAAAGAAGCCGCCCCGTCCTTGGTCTTGTTGGACGTGGGCGAGATCGGCGAGGTCGGTGACGTCGGCGAGGCGGGACGCTCGGGACGCTGAGTCTCGGCTGGCTCCATCGGGGCGGTTGGGCAGTTGGACACGTTTGGGCCACTGGCGCTGAGTTTAGGTGGGACAACTTGGTTGGGATCTGGTTCGGTGGGATTTACTGGAGTTTTGGGTGGGATCTTCCTTTTCGAAGTAAGCCGATAAAGAGTCATCTGTTATCTTCTGAAGTCAAAAGTTGAGCCAAAGGGCTGGAATCAATCTGGTATTGTTTGTATCTGAGCTGGGAAAGTGATGAAGCGGCATCTGCTTGCGTTGCTTTGAAGGCACTTATCTATGCACGCCGAATGAGTTAGTTGGCTGGTTGGTTGGTTGGTTCGTTGGTTGGTTGGTTGCTCTTCGAGAATCGGGTACATCTTTGAACAGTCAGCATGTAAAGGATGCCAACGGAAGGCTGCAACATCTCAGCGGACCTTGCATCGACGAATGAGTGAACGGCCTGCACGTTCCAACCTCAGATGTCAGGCTTCTCAAATGAATAGGCAACTTCTGCCCTTGGTCATCTAATGGCCTCCAACCTACTAGCATAAGGAATAGCGATGGCCTCCAACCTAATAGCTTCCTAAGCTATTACTTCTAAACAATCTCAAAATAGATAGATGCGCTCTACCAAAGCTCAATGAGCTTGAGGACAACTCTCTCCCAAACCTTTCCAGCCAGTTGATTTGAAGTTTCCTTCCCAGTACCAAGAAACCCTCTTGCAAAACATCACCCCCAACCAGCGCAGCAGCTTTCAAGGTCGAGCACCAAACAGGTCTTGGGTCTTTGACCCTGTTGGCACTTGACTTTTCAGGTTTCAATCATAAACAAACCTCGGTCCAACAGTCCTGAACATCGGCTGGACCTGCTAACGTTGAAGGCTTCCTTTCAAGTCTGTGGCTAACGTTGGCTGCTTCACCTAATGGCTCTCAAGAATCAGGCAACCTTACTCTATCCCATTCTTTGTCAAAAAACTGCACCAGTTCTTCTTAGCCCACAAAAAAATAACCATCCAAAGCAAAAACACACACTTTTTCTGCCGAATGCAACCAAAAAGCCAAGAAACCCTCCTCGACTCCTCCCTCTTTCCAATTTCCGCCGCTCCGGCGGTGTACGGGCTCCCCTGCAGCTCTCGGGCAAACAGTTTGAAGCCGTCGCCCTCGGTGCTGCTGAAGGCCTTCACGAAGTCCTCGCGGAGGAGCAAGAACGCTACTAGGGGCTCCTGGCCTTACTACTCGGAGCAAGGACGCTACTAGTAACAAGGGCATCGTTACTAGTAGCAAATAGCTACTAGGGGCTCCTGGCATCGCTACTAGGAGCTATTAGGGACTCCGGAGATCAAACACGCTGGTGGTGACCGATGGAGACTCTTGGAGACTCCCACAGAATATCCTCCTGGAGGTCCTATATGTTGCCTCCAGAACCAGAACGGATGTGAATATCGGGCTCTAGTCACAATGGCACCAAATCTAAGCCATACGAGTCTATGTGCACCCCGTTTGTTGATGAAAGAAAGGAGCTCGTTCTCTGTCTCAAATTTCCAACATGTCTTGCATTCTTGACTTTTGTATTCTTCCAAATGGATCAAGAAGCTACTAGGAACAAGTGCATCGCTACTAGTAACGGGTGCCTTACTAGTAGTAACAAGAAGCTATTAGAAACAATTGTTTCTAATAGCTTCTTGTTGACCGTGCTTCTCCGCATCTTCCGAGGCCTCCAATGCGGCCCCGAGATCCGGGTTTTGGCTCATCGCATTGAAGAGTGCTTGCCTCAGGCTGGCAACCATGATCGCTGAGGGCAAAACAAGAGCCCTCCTGTGCCTTTCTCACTTTTTGTACATAACATCATCTTATTATTTTTTCTTGTCCTTTCTTCATCTTCTTTCTTTCTTTATTTATTTCTTTCTTCATTATCTATCTATCTGTCTATCTTTATTGTTTTCCGTTCTCGTTGGACCTGTAGATCTTTTCTATTGTTTATCAATTTCTTGTTTATTCTTTTGCATTTTTCTTCAATTTTCTAATGTATGGTTTCTCAATCGGCTAGACAAGATTCAGCTGCCGTTTTCTGCAATCCCCGCATTGGATTTCCTTTTGGTGTTGGTGATTTTCGTTGTCTTTATGGTCAACGTAGTGAAGTGGTCTGTTGGCTCATTTCTCAGCCCACAAAGCCTTCCCTTCGTGGGCACCTGGCCATCAGCCACATTCCCAAAAGAATGGTCTACTGAGAGTCCACCGAGTCTACTGCCTGAAACAGTGTCACCAATGGCATGTGTGGGGATGGAGTAAGCCAAACACTAGAAGCGTCCTTGTTCCTAGTAGTAAGGCCAGGAGCCCCTAGTAGCGTCCTTGCTCCTAAGAGTGGTGCATCGGTTCTGCTGTTCACTCCGTCGACTCCATCGTCGTCTGAGAGCGTTGCAGTTGGCCTTCCGAGAGCTCGCTTCCCAGAACTCCAGCCTCGAACTTGCTTCCCAGCCACAATAAGCTAGTAGTAACAAGTGCCTTACTAGTAGTAACAATAAGCTACTAGTAACAAGTGCATCGCTACTAGTAACAAGTGCCTTACTAGTAGGAACAAGAAGCTACTAGTAAAAATTGCTGTCCGCATGGCACAGCCCAGTTCGGTTCCGGGGAGAAACCGGGGAGCCGAGAAACCGATCAGTTTTTGATGTCAAGAAGAACAGTCTCCACATGTCTCCACACCTTCACTTGCAGGGCACCGACAAAACAACGATACCTAGAGACCTTTTGACTAAGACCTCACTAAGGAACGGGAGCCATGCTGTATGCAGGATTGTGGAAGCAAGAATCACCACAGACCAAGATGTCAATGAATCTTAGAAAAAGAACCCGAACAAAAGCGCCAGGGGAGCGGGGGTCCAGGTAAGCGGGTCGAACTTCAAAAGCGCCTCCCCCTGACCCTGTACAGTCAATGCAGAGGGGGTGGTGCGACGACGCCGCTTGAGTCCATGAATGGTGGTGTTGCAACAACATGCCGGTTACGAGTTGGTAGAGATGAAAGAAGCTTGATTCCACAATTTTATCAAGACACCAAAAGTGACGACACCCAATAAACCTCGAGCTGGTGGTAGGCCTTTGGTCTTAAAGGTCACTCCTCACTATTGAAACCTGGAACACCATCATTCAATTCTGTCTTGAAACGTGAATATTTACTAACTAGATCCAATTAGTGTTCTTTTCTTAAAGTCTGTATGCTCTCTTATTTTTAGGCCTTAGGCCTTGTTTTCCTTTCTTGTTCATTTTCTGCTTTTGAAAGCATTCTTTTCTTTGTTTGGGGTAATTAGGAAAGGGTATACAGTCAGTAACTGAGTGGTCTTACATGTCTTCTAGGAATGAGAAGTAAAGAGAGCTCACCAAAGTCATGCCTCACCAACTAAAAATTGAATTCTTTTGACTAGCTTGATTCCTTTCTGTTGACCCACACTTCGTTAGCCATCGGCCCACCCTGAGTGTCCCGTCCACACCCAAACCCAAGGTTTGCTTGGAGAGTCTGGTGGAGCCAGCTGGTAGCCAGCGCCTCAGAAAGCGGAGAGACACAGGCAACAGGCGAGCAACCTTGCGATGGCCTCCAACCTAGTAGCGTCCTTGCTCCGTTCGTAGCGATGCCCTTTGTTCCTAGTAGCGTCCTTGCTCCTAGTAGCGATGGCCTCCAACCTCAGGCTTCTTTCTTTTGGACGTGCAAGCCCAAGTCCAGTGAGGTGTGCATGATCGGAACATCTTCCAATCAGGAACCGTAGGTTATTTTGCTTAAATACATAATACAAACTCATGGAGACGCAAACCGTCATTTCAGCAGGTGTCAAGATTTGGAACCCCTACCATGCTCACTTTCACGGTAAATTCCAACAGAATCCTTTTCTTCCTGGATCTTTTAAAAGGATATTTTGGGCCTTTGAGATCCACCCGGCGCTTCAGGTGCCCTTTTGCCACGTCAATCTGCGCATCTTAAAATTGCGTCGAGTGGAGCCGCCAAACCAAAAGGTCCTAGTAGATGCCTTTGCTAGTAATTACAATTCTAATTAAATTCTTCTTGTTACTACTAGTAAGGCACTTGTTACTAGAAGCGATGCACTTGTTACTAATAGCTGACATTTCGAGAGTTGAGCTCCTCAGAGTCCGTTGGCTGCTCCAAAGATTGAACCGATTCTGTGAAACGATCGTGTCGATGGAGGAGACATATGGAACACCGTCAATGGACAAAAAACCGGAAGAGTTGCTTCTAACATGCTTCTAAAGAGTGGCTTCCACGCAAATCATGTGTCTTTTTTGGTCCATCAACAGTCGGGTGCTGTTTCAGGATGACCTACCACAGAGGGGGAGGCCAAGGCGGACAAGAAAACATAGCCCATGGCCCTACCTCCTTACTTGATTGAGTGGGCGCCTACTTAAGTAAGGAGGCAAGCTACTAGTAATAGGAAGCTTCTCGCTAGGACGCAGGATAGGTCACACTTCTTCAAGGAAGCTTTCCCAACAGCGTGAGGGCGGGGAGAGCTTCCTTGAAGAAGCGCTCGCACTATTCATGTGGTTCCTAGATTTTCAGGGACGCTGAACTAAGCTATTTGCATCTACTCTCTTTGCTTCTCTTCGTCACTTGGCACACTGCGCATTCGCTGCATTGACCGCGTCTTTGTCAACGCGGCCTCCCCTATTCCACGACAGCGATGGCTCATGGTCATCTCCCGGCTCAGCGCGAGTCGGGATCCTTCTTTCCGGACTCAGCGGGACGCAGAGTTCTGGGGCGTTCGGCTCCAGGTGGGATGGTGACCAGTGGTGCCAAGGTCAGCTGAACATGATCCATCAACTGGATAATACTGCAAGCACACACCTACACACACACACCCCTACCTACCTACCCAGCTTTCTTTCAGGGTACTCCCAACTTCGTCAGCCGAATAGTGAAATCGCTGTGTACTGAAAGAGTAGCATTTGGTGCATTTTCTGCAAAACGGTGATTACTACCAGTGTGAAACCTTGTTTGCCTTGTTTGATCGGTTTTCAGAGGTGCTATAATTGCTCTAACTTGGCTATCACGAGAAAAGAGGAGAGACCACGTTTTGGGACCCTACGATTCCCTGACTTGCTCTGTCCGAGCCTGAGTTTTGATCTGCCCCAAAGGGTAGGTTCTAGGGTGCTCCATGTCGTTTTTGCGTTGTTCCATCTCCCAATGGACTCTGGACTCTTGCTCTGCAGCATCTCTATATACGCTTGGTGTCTTGGCTGGGTCACTCTAAGATCCCATAGCGCTTTGGCACTTGATGTCATCCGTTTACGTCCCTTTTGATGAAATGAGGGCCACTCCAGGGCAACTCCACCTGCACCATCGTTCGTGTCCAAACCAACCGTTGGCTTCAAAACCTGAGCGCCTCCTTGGTGTCTGTCCCTCGTTTCAAACCTCTTGCACCCGCTGCCAAGCTGGATCAAGGGGCAGAAGGGCTACAGACATCAGCGAGTCCCCCACACTTCTTCAAGTGAGCCAAGATGGTCCCCTAGTAGGGTCCGATCGCTCCCAGTAGCGATGCCAGGAGCCCCTAGTAGCTTCCTTGCTCCTAGTAGCGATGCCCTTGTTACTAGCTACTTGCTCCTAGTAGTACGGCCAGGAGCCCCTAGTAGCATCCTTGCTCCTTATTCCTAAACTTGTTCTTCACCATCGGAATGTACACCGTCGATTGTTGTGCCAAAGATGCCACGATGCCAACACCGAAGACAAACAGTGCCAGCACAATGATGAGCCCAGCACCACCTGCCAAGCTCAACAAACTTGTTGAGTTTTGCAAAGAAATCCTGGTGATTTTTATGACTTAACTATGCGCAAAGTAAACATGACTCTTTTCCAGGTGCCTTAGAGCGTTTTCAGACGCTAGGGAAATACCCCAGGGTGCTTCTCTTGCTAGTAGGTTGGAGGCCATCGCTACTAGGGTGGAGGCAATCGCTTTTAGGTTGGAGGTCACTTGCTTTTCATTGCTAGTAACAAGAAGCTACTAGGGGCTCCTGGCCTTACTACTAAGAGCAAGGACGCTACTAGGAACAAGGGCATCGCTACTAGGAGCGATCGGACGCTACTAGGAACAAGTGCATCGCTTCTAGTAACAAGTGCCTTACTAGTAGTAACAAGGACGCAATTAGGGGCTCCTGACATCGCTACTAGGAACAAGAAGCTATTGCTGTGTTCCACACCACCTTTCCTCCCCCGCCTATGACGGAGACGGCCTCAGAGGGCCCGTTGGAGCTGCCGGGTGCGGGGATCTCCTTGGCGGCCTTCACCGACAACTGGTTGTAGTCCTGGAGGTGTTAGCCAATTAAGGCTTCTTGTTAAAGCTTCTTGTTTCTACGTTCGCTTCTTGTTACTACTAGTAAGGCACTTGTTACTAGAAGCGATGCACTTGTTACTAGTCGCATGCACTTGTTAGTCAAATACACTCAAACATCTGGTGTGGAAATCGATGTTTTTCTAGACCTTGCGAGATTTTTGCACTAGAAGCACGAATGCTAGCATTCTTACCACATGTCTTTGCTACATGATTGTTGTACAATAAAGAAGAAGGCTACTAGTGACATCTAACTCTGCCTTTTGCTTCTTGGCTTGGTCATTCCATCACCCTTTCGGAAGAAAACATCCACACCACCTGTGATGCGATGGATCAACCGGCGGATTGATCCCAACATCGTCAAACACGCTTTGTTGTAGAAATCGTCCGGGGAAAATGGCAAAATGTCCACCGGTACCTTTGGTGGACTCAGAAACATGGACGCCCCAAAGGTGGTGACCTGCGAAGCGCCAAGCGTCGGCGCCACTGGAACTCCCTTTTCTTCTTCACATCTCGGTGGTTCGTCCTAAAGGTCCTAACTTCAGCACATCTCAGCTCTGCGCCGCAACTTGCGCCGCTTGGGCGCTTTCACTTCGGAATTCGCACCGTCAAGGAGCGGCGTCGCCGGGAGAACTTTGTCTCCATGGAAGCTGCATGAACTTTGCTGCAGCTCACCTTCGTCTCCACCGCGTTCGGTGCGTTGAAGAGTAGGACGTCTGCGGAAGCATCGAGAAAAATGTCTTGAGCGTGTTGAAACGCCGCCGACCAAGCAACTAAAAGCCAGTTCTGCTCTGTCTCCTCCCATTCGTAATGGATGGGACCTTGGAGGTACCAGTGCGGTTTCTTCGTGACAACAAAAACTCAAAGAAGAGCTTTGTCACCGAAAATGAATGGATTTTGCCAAGGGACAAAGGTCTGGCTTTGGAGATGTATCCATGACCTTCTTCGAAAGCCGTGGCATTCGAAATCCCACGAGCTTTTGCCAGACCTCTATGCCGGGACCAAAGGCTGAGGCCACAAGGCTCAAGTTCTCCCGCAGATCGGCATCTGCTTCGCTGGTCAAAAGCATCTCTGAGTGAACGCCTCAGAAGAGTCTGCGCGCACTTGTTGAGCAATGAATCTTCCGCAACAAGTTCAAGGGAACCCAAACAAAACCAAAAAAATAAACACACACACACACACACCCTCTACGAGCGCCTTTCCGAGCAAACAAACACCTCAATCCATGGGATTGCAGCGCGAAAATGTATCCGAGGCAAAAACCAGGTGCCTGGATGTGCCCCTGGCAACTTTCCCCTACCTTCCAGCCTCTCCTTCAAGAAAAAGACTACACAATATGCAAACATGAAGAAACTTTACTAGAAGCGATGGCATCCAATCTGTTAAGTTTCCCTAAGAATCTAGGAACCAAATGAATCGTGCGAGCGCTTCTTCAAGGAAGCGTGAGCTATCCTGTGTCCTAAGTAGTAGCTGCTTGTTAGCCACTAGCTATCTCTTCTACTAGCTACCTCCAGCGGCCTACCCCCCCGTAAAACATAAATGTTTTCATGAAAGAAGAACCGAGCAGCGCAAATGGATGTTGGACAAGGGAACCACAGACTTGACCAAGCGCTCCGATCGCCTCCACAGTGCCAAGCTCTCCTCAAAGCGACCATCCAAGCCTGCCATGTTTAACTATTGGAAGACATACATTGACTTTGGCACGGCAGCACAAGACATATATTTCTGTCAAATGCATTTAGTTATTCCATATTAAAAACAACTTTATTATAAGACACATATTCAGCTTCTGCATTTCACCATGCGTTTTTCTGTTTGTTTACAATCCAAAGATCAATAAACATATGTTCACCCTTGTTTTGAGCTGAGACGCGCAAGCGTGCAGCGAGCTGTTGAAAGGCAGGCACTAAAGGCCACAGAGCCCAAGACTCGTGGATCCTGGCGACGGTCCCACCGAGCAGGTGGACAGTGCCTCTTGAGGCCGCTGATTCAACGGAGAATCGCCATTAGTTAAACGACAACAATTAATGCTTTACACTACCATTCAACAAGCGAATATAACACATCAACAATAGTTTATTGCTTTTGGTAGTTTCGAGCCTTTACCTTACAAGGTAGTTGAGTCTAAGACCAAACATGGAGTGCAATCAACTTGATCAAGTCAAGGAGCTCTTCATGCTCTTTGTCATTTGTCTCGGTGACTTCCTGAGGAAAAACTGACTCATCAGACGGGTCATCTGAACATTCGGCTGTTGCATCTGACACTCAAATGCAATAGGAAACGCTTGGTCAGCACCACGTCATTCACCCTTCCTCCACATATTGAAAGCAGAACCACGGTAGAACTCCCTAGAACAAACACTTTTCAATGCGCTCGCAATGCGCTGTTGCACCATGTTGCACCCTTTTCCAGCTTCCTTATCGACCTCCGGGGTTTTAGCTTCTTGCTCCTAGTAGTAAGGCCAGGAGCCCCTAGTAGCGTCCTTGTTCCTAGTAGCAATGCCCGGGTTTCTAGTAGCTTCTTGTTCCTATTTGGTCTCTTTCTCTGAGCTCCACTTCCACTGCTTCTGCTTTCGGTCCAAGTTGCGATGAAGCGTTCGGCCAGCGCACGGCGCGCACAGCGCTCCGCGTCGGCGATGAGGCCTTCCAACTCCGAGGAGAAGCGCTGCTGAAGCAAGGGAACTGCACCTGGGGAGAGGCCGGGCTCGCTAGCCATCGCTAGTAGGAGCAAGGACGCTACTAGGTTGGAAGCCATCGCTCTTAGGTTGGAAATTGAGTGTCTTGAACTTGTTGCCAAAGAACTCAGACAGATATCAGGTCTCTTGTTGACGCGGACTTGATGCTTGGAAACAATAGGAAGGAATTCTTCCAGGAAGTTCAAAAGACTGGAATTGAGAGCATCGCGCAGTGCAAAGCAGCTAACCAGCCAAGGCACAGCTGTAGAGACGTTTCCAGGGCTGAAATTCTTCACTCTCAGTGTCCAAAAGGAGTTCAAAGCGACATCCTCAAAAAAGATCTGGACGACAAACTGCATTTGAACATCTCCAAAAAAGAACAGTTCAGTCACAGTTCAAGGAACTTTTGCTACTTCTGGCTGTTTTGGATCTTCCTTTCGTTCTTGAGCCAGTGCGGACTTCCGTCTTTGTGCGTGAAAAGCGTAAAAACTCCGAACGGCTTCCCGTCCGAGTCTCGTGGGCAGTTGCAAGAAAATCCAAACCTAGGGAATGAGCAACACACATTTTGGAGAAAATGCGCAAAACAGGATCAACGAAGACCATCGCTAGTAGGTTGGATGCCATTAGGGTGGAGGCCATCGCTAGTAGGTTGGAGGCCATGCTACTAGGGCGGAGGCCATCATCGCTATTAGGTCTTCCCAGAACGGGAGATGTTACAAGTTCATGGCGTGTTCGTCAATTGGCCTTTCGCGCTTTTGCCAAAAGGCAAATCCGAGAGCTCCTTCTGCCGCATCTCCACGGGCATTCGGATATCGCAGTAGAATTGTGTGAGCTCCTCCCCTGGTGGAATCTCCCGAGCTGCGCGGAGAAACACCCACTTGCCCAGCAAGACTTTGGACATATTCGGTGCACAACCTAGGTTCAACAAGGCAAAACAAGCAATAACAAGCACAACAAAACAATCACCGAAGCGATCCAAAACGGCTTGGTTTCATTGGTTTCACATATTTTCTCCAGTGACCTCATGACTTCGTGCCCAGAAAGATCCTTCCGTAAGCTTTGGCTTTAAGTGTTCCCAACGGTATCACAATGCTGTCAGATGCTTTCAGCATGTTCTCAAGGCTTTCTGGGCAAAGATGAGTTGCTGTGATTGAAGAGTGATGCCAAGGGGAAGACCCCATAGGCCTCAGATCGAGCCTTGGATGCGTTGGACTGGCCATCATCGGTGAAAGCATATTCGCTGACGGGCGGAGAGCATCGATATGCATTGAGGTCCACTTTTCGACGCATCTTCGCCAAAGAGATCTTTGATCTCGGCCGGCCGAATCCACCTGAGCCGTTGACGTAGACGGCGCCGGCTGGGTGACGTGGCTCTGGTCGATGTTAAAAACGCTTCGAAGAAGTGAAACAGAATGAGAACGCACCCCTAGGTCCTGAACATCACTGCGGTGACAAAAGCTTTGACCAAGCAAAACCCATTCGTTATCTCCAGATTGACCCGTTAGGTCGTTTGGTTCTGACCTGGCCAGCTATGAAGTGGCACCGGCTTCGAGAACTCCTCCAGCTCACTGTCATCGCCTACGGTGCGATGGTGCACGGCTGCTACACAGCTACACCACCCGAAAGAATGTATTGACAGTTATACTGTTGGTCTTACTGGGTGTCTTTTTCGTTTTAAAGATCAATGAAGCCAATCGTTGCCCTGTATCTCATCACAAAAAAGTTTTAACACAGAAAGCACGACACATTTTTTTGAACAGTTACCCTGTAATCCTTGTAAGTTGAATGCCCATTTGACAAGTTGCACATCAAGTCGAGTCGTTGCCAATCAATCTCATCCTCGGTGATTCGTGCGCGAGCTGTCTGTTTTATATGAAACCACCGCAAACTTAGGACCACTTCCTTTCCCCACTCACCGGACACCGCAAGAATCGGCCGTTTGCACATGTAGCAAACACATAAAACCCTCAGAAAAAACCGAGCCCCTCATGTTATCTTTGTATATCTTTGTTTCATACTCGATCGGAGAGAGTCCAAAGGCTGCTCTTGCAACTCTTCTGCCAAGCGGTCTTCTGGAGCCACCTCAGACTGGCCGACATCCCATCCAGACCGCCTCTGAGAGCGGCCTGACTAGGCGTTCCCATGTCGTTTCGGACTTCAAGGAATCCAAATAGCTTCCAACCTAACAGCATGAGAAGTTGTGGTTAAGACTCGTTTGACTTGTGGTCAAACACCACTTTTCGGAATCCCTGCTGTCAAGCCTGGTCGAAGCCTTCTGTTCGAGGCCAACCCCGGAACCGACCTCTCTCCGTCCTCTCACCGGTCATCCGTCCCACGGCACCCGCAGCGCTGCTTCCGCCACGAGCAGCTCGCCGGCGCGGAGCGGCGCCAGCGTCACGACGCCGCGACCCGCCGACGCGATGCAACGGACCTGCGACGGCCACCGGATCGGAATCGCTTCCGTGGTGCTCTCGGTATCTCTCGGTAAAGGCAATGGTAAGGCTGAGACTGAAGATCTTTGAAAATAGCAAGTGACAATGGAAGGATTTTTTTTTGCAGTAAGAAGGAGCTGTTGAGCCTAAGACCTACATTCGTCAAGAGGCGTTGACGAATGTTGCATCTTTTTCTTTTCTTGTTCTTTGTGACACTTTTCTGCTCGCCAACGACCAACAGAAAGGCTAAACAGGTCAAACATGGTCAAAGCATCACACGGAGTCTGACCTCCAAAGACTCATGGATGAAGTGGTGGAGCTTTGAGAAATCGCCTACGCGGCAAACACACCGACGCGGCCGAGAGTCCCGATCGCCCACACGATCAGATCTGATCTCAGAAATGACGACCGGCTTCTCGTCATTTCCAGAGTTTATTGGAGGGAAAACGCACGTGAGGTCACGATTATGGAGTGGAGAAAGTCAAAGAACATGCTTCAACTTCAGCCGCAATGTCACCAATCTTCTATGAAACGATGGAAGCATTCAGGCAAGGCAAGCTAGGAACGTGCCAGAACAAATGCATGAGAACATCTACAAAGCCCTGAAGTCACATCTGTTCTTATTTCAACGAGACACCTTGCCATATCAGGTTCCAATCCACGCCCATGGCGCTGCGAGCTGTGCTGATAGGGGTGTGCTGGGTCCGACCCTACCCCCTGGAGCCAACAAACATCGGAAGATATCTAACGTGTTTCTATTTTTTAAGTATTCTTTTCGGAATTCCTTTGGAGGACACATATTGACATTGTCCACTGTCATCGGACTGATTGCGAAGCTGGTGCACCGCGCAAGCAGTGCGACCAGCGGTCTATTGTCCACTGTCAAATCTCCTCTTCAACTCCAATGACAGGAGAGTATGGTGACGAACTTTCATACATGCAAATTCCTCAAGCCAGAAAACGACATGGAACATGGATGAACTTGAAAGTACATGGTCAAAGCAAGAAACCCAGTTACTTGCAACTTGGAGAGATTCAGGCCATTAGTTGACCCACCCACGTCCTCAAAGCCTTCAGTAACGGCCCAGGCCGGCCATGCAGAGAGGGTGGCAATGCCTCACCGCCATGGGCTGCTAGGAACCGGTGATGAATTGGGACGACCTTGGGATTTGCCTCAGGAACAAGGACGCTACTAGGAACAAAGGGCATCGCTACTAGTAGCAAATAGCTACTAGCGGCTCCTGGCATCGCGACCAGGTAGCAAGAACACTACTAGGGGCACTCCTGGCCTTACTACTAGGAACAATAGGACGCTACTAGGCTGGAGTTCTCCAGCGACAAAAGAACCCCAAATGTCCAACGACCCAAAAGGACCAATCTTTCGTGACGAAAATGATGCAATGGCCTCCAGCCGAATGGCGGCCTCCAGCCTAGTTGGACTATGTACTCAAGTCCCAAGAACCGGAAGAATGCGAAGCTGAACGATTCATTTATGAGCACTGTGGAGCACTGCTCGCTACGCCTGCAGCTGTGCTTGCTGCGGCTGCACTTGGTCTCACCTGTGGTGATCCACACTTCAGCGGTGTGATGAAGGCCCACCTCTCTGTATGATGACATTATCAATCCATCCACCATTTCCTTTCATCAGGAACTCTTGGTTTCTGACTGGAATTACTTCTGGCAAACATCTCAAACTACCAAAGTGGGAGCACGGAATTGGCTAAGAACACCAGGCAGGCCTATTGGTTCCCGTTGTTTCTTACCTCCCCGTACAGTTTGGTTGAAACTATTTGGCAATGATTTTTCTGCACAAAGCAGTGGTTTGGAGTTTCTATGGTCTGAACTTGCGGCTGGTGTGACTTCTAAAGTGATAAACTTCAAATAAACTGGATGCATATCTAATGATCACATGTGACTCTGTGACGACATATTTTTGCGACTCTTTGTGGACTGCCCAAACCACTCTAAGCCTGGATGGTGACTTGTTCGCGCTCAGGGCCTCTGGGATGAAAGCCAAACGCGCGCCGCACAGCACGGCGCACAGCACGCAGAGTGCCAAGGCCGGAAATCCGGAGCTACGCCTGACAGCGCGGAGTGAACAACGGGACCTCAATGTCACCTACCAACTACCAACCTTGGAAGAGAAGCGATGGCCTCCGCCCTAGTAGCGATGGCCTCCAACCTACTAGTGAGGGTCTTCAACCTTGGAACAGTTTGAGGCTTTGAGGCAAAGTACCCTTTCAAAACAAACTCACCCTGACTTGCCAAGCACGCCTTCCAACCATGCTTGCCCGGCCGACTGATGGTTGGCTTCGATAGAGGAACGGCTACAGGATGCACAAAGGGAACATCTGTACTGTCTGCATTCTATCTTGTTTATTTCTGAGTTCTAGTCTGCACGAAACGACTTTGACATTGGGAAGGATCAGAAACCGTGCAAAGAGATCTTGGATGACCTACCAAGAGATCTTGGCAGCCTACAAAGGACCTTCAAAGGGTATAACTACTGTGATGGTGATGCCCGTTAGTTGTCTTGATCTTCTCCTTCATGGCCTACTTGGATACGCTGTGCCTTCGCCCATCAAGATTAGGCCAAATGCCCCGATCTTACACTCCCAGAAGCCACCTGAAAGTGTCCGAAAACCTGCCCAAAAGCTTCCAAAGCTTACACAACCAATTAATATCATATAAGTAATTCTAGCTTAATAACAGAGATGTATTCCAAAGCTTGATATCAATCATGTAATCCAAAGCTTTGGCCATTTCTCGACTAGGCGACCCACTGGAAGACCGTGGCCAATTTCAAGCTTCGCTCGTGCAGGGCCGGGCGGATCCTGACACAAAACGAGACGGTCTGACCGTGACCGCGGTGATCTTCGCGCTGGGTGCGGCTCACCCGTGGCTTTTGGATCCGGTGTGAAATCCGAAGGATTCACCGGTGGAAACAAGAAGCTACTAGGAACAAGTGCCTTACTAGTAGTAACAATGTTTGCTATCAGGAATCGACAATAGGAAGAATTCCAATTAAAGCTTCTTGTTACTACTAGTAAGGCACTTGTTACTACTAGCGTGGCACTTGTTACTAGTAGCTTCCTACCCCCCCCCCAAAAAGCACTGAGAGATTCGTCTTTTGACCGTAAATTGATGGAGCTACTCAGCGACTGTGCTGGTTGGATGGGCTGAGGAGGCTGCTTGGTGTCCAATCGGAGGTCAATGGCGGGACTCCCCACCAATACATTGTTGCTCACTTCAACCAGAACTACCAGCGAACCTTGATGGCTTTGCAGCCTCCTCATAAAGGAAGAAAGATCTAAAGGACCAAGGAAAAAGAACAGAGAAGGAACAACTGGAAGAAGCAAAACAATCAAAATCTCTTCCTTTGACCTTTTCTCTTCGTTTAAAAGATCTGTTAAAGTTACCCCTTTTCTCTTTCACCAAGAGAGGCATGCTGCGACCACGCGGTGCATGCAATTGCTCTTGGCCCAGCCTTCGGAAGGCGCTCCAAAGAGCACCGCCGGCCTCGAGACTTCGGCGGTGCACGCGGCCGTCGCTCTCTCTTGAAAGGGACAAGTAGGTGGTCTCTCTTCTCTTCCAGACAGACATGTAGACCCTTTCTTTCCTTCTAGACCCCTTCGTACCCGAGAGGTCATAGTGAAAGCCTGCGCCCAGTCAGAAGTCCTCCGAACATCACAAACAATCAAACGGCAAGGCCTGAGCACAAGGTTTATCATCGACATTCAATCATATGGTGTGAGGAGCTCGGAATCTATTTTGATCACTCTTCTCACCCACCTTCTCACCTTAGCGTTGCCTGGCCTTAGCCCATTCACTTCTCCACCTTCTTCTTACTCTTGCCTC